CCGATTTCAAAAATTTAAAAACTATTTGATGTAACTCAATGAAGTCTATCGTTTATCATATTTAGGCGACGATCTGCCAAGCCGTTTCTTTGTAATTCGGTAAAAAGTGTTAAACTTTTTGTCTACAGTTTTTTCGCCCACAGTTTTTTTACGAAAAAACTTTGTTCGTACGAAAGATGCAGAATAAAATTACGAATAAAATGGCATATAAATGGTTAAGTGTGTTCATATAATTTTCTCGAGATTTTCCGATTTTCCTGAAATTTTACGATAGCAACTCGCCTGTAGGCATTTGTTAAAATCAAAATTAGACGATTTACTTGGTACAATGATAGAGTACTTGGTCTTGATGAACATACTAAACCATTAAAGTGCCACGGAAACTGGTTCAATTATAAAAATTATCGATTTTCAAAAATTTGCTTTTAGAAAATACTCCGTTCATTCGTTTTCAATGATGTGTAATAAATTCACTCGGAATACTTTTAATCACTCATAAATTAATGTATTTTTTATTGAGTCGATTATATGCACAAATCGGAAAGTTCATGTAACTTGGCTCAAGGCAAAATACCAATACCAACTAGTTTTTTCTTCTAATCTATAATAATCAGACTCAGGGGCTGGTTTTGTCGTGAAATAGACCATTGTTATGGCAAGGCTATTTTACGCTGCGTTCTTCATACGAAATGGTACTAAATATGTAAAAATGTCGTGTGGTTGCTGTACAGTCAGGCGTTTTAGATAGAAAACCCATCCTAAAACACGCATAAACGTCAAAAAACAATCTTATCATAAATGCTTCTTTGTGATATGACTTGATAACATGTGAGTGCAGTTGTATTTTATGTGTAAATCGCCTGATCATACATAGCATTTTGACAGTATTTAGTACCATTTTGTATGAAAAGCGCTACGTATGCAGTTCAATAGTTAATTTTTTTAACTGGTTATAAATGAGAAACTCGAGTAAATATATTACTACTTTCACTAAGAAATAATTTGTACAAATAGTGAAGTAACGACTTCAAACATCTCAAAATGACTTTTAGGTGTTAATTAAGTGTTTGAACATTTCCTAAAGGGCCGTTTTAAATCTCACGTGCATTATCGAACTTAGGTGTGATTTATATATATATATATATATATATATATATATTATAAAAAACACACTTCTTAAAAATCATATTGAGTAATTTGTAAAAAATTTATTTTCTAAATTAATCTACGGTAAAAGACCTTCTAAAATATTGGAGGAACAAGAGAGTTTCAATGTAGAACTTTGTCTGATGATGTAATAATCCATTTAAACTCAAATTAAACTAGTTGTATTTTTTTATTGAAACATAAAGTAATTAAGAGACAAATAAAAAAAGCAATTCTGATTACCCATAATACTTTTAAAATAAGAAGCAGCAAAACCTTAGAGAAAATTTAATTCTTATCGCTCTTTTCTGTAATTGAAAAATTTAACTAAGTAATTTTGAAAAGCCACATAATTAAATGCCATAAAACCATAACATGATTAGTTCTAGTAATTAAAATATCCTTTGTTAATGAAGTGTTATAAATTTATGAAAAAAACTAGTTGTATAAATTGTGTGCCTACTATATCTATTCATAAATTTGTTGTCTCTCAAATTTTTCTTATAAAGATTTATTCTGCACACAATCTTGCTACTAGTTTATCATCTGTGTGTAAAATTGTTGAGAAAAAATTGCTAGTACATTCAAAATATTCTCAGAAATTTGTGTCTAATGTCATTTTTTCTTTTTAATATTTATTCATCTATCTTTTTGAAGATTTACTCTGGGAACAATTTTTTTACTTGGCTATCATCTTTATGTGAAATTGTAGAGTAGAAATTATAAAAAGTGTAGGTTTGTCGTATGTTTTAGTAGTATACCCAGAAGTTTTGTCTGATGTATATATATATATATATATATATATATATATATAATGTGAGTTCGTTTCTCAAGTTTGCATCTGGTAGTAACATTCCATTCTAACAAAACCGCAAATCTAGGAATGTCTTGAGTTTTGCTCATTTGTCTCTTTGCTGAAGACAACACACAAACACATAAATTCATATATATATATATATATATATATATATATTTATATATATATACCTATTAGGACGATGTGGGACATTTGACAATTATGCAAATGGCATAATTCCCATGAAGGGTTTTGCAGAGTAAAAGAGCACCTTTAGGGTAGACTTTTGATGAAATTAATCAAGCCCTCGTAAAAGTAGACAGTTAAAACTGTCATGACCATTTATTTTGTCATGGAGTATATATAGATACAATAAAAGTGCAATATTTTTACATGATGTTATATGAACGCAGCATTTTAGTTTTTCTATAATTTGCATACAAAGTGCAAAGAGTAATGTTAAACTTAAAGTGGCTTGGTAAAATATATTTAAATACATATATATATATATATATATATATATATATCTCAGCATATCTATTTTCATCCCCTATTTTTCCTATTTTTCCAATCACTTAAGGGCAAAGAGTATTAGGTCAACCAGAATCCTCGATGGAGCAATATCAATAAATACAACACGACCAAACATAATTATGGCTATTTGTCCAGAAATAATCGTAACATTTTACTTTCGGGATAAGAAATTAGTACTTTGAGGGAATTGATACGGAAATATACAACTTTTTTAAGAAATTGACATCGATATTGTAAAGGATTCGATTAAAAAAATTGATAATATTGTAAAAAGATCCAAAAAATTGATAATTGTTGTTTGTAAGAGAGTATAAGATGCAACCACATTTTTTGTCAAGTGAATTTATAGTATTTTTACATTTTATAGTCTTTCAAACATGTAGTTGAAGTAGTTGTTAAATAAATCGTTACTATTTATTCTTACCTTGTAAATTAATATAGACAACAAATTAGGTTAAAAACAGTTTTGTTAAGTTAAAACAAAATGCATCAAATTTCAAAATATCCGTTCCTCTATATTAAACTAATATGTTAACAAAAGGAAATAGTCATTACAATAGATATTTAAATATTTTTTGTTATATTGATATTGAAAAATATTGGACTCAGGACCCTTCCTTGAGGAACGCCATTGGCTATGTACTTCAATGTATAGTAATCTTTTTTTATAAAATTGTCGATTGTTTAAATAACTATCAGTTTGATGTATTATATAATATGGTAATTATTTCTACTACAAATTTGAAAAGCAGAATTATTTAGATTTTTGTGTGTTAAGTACATGGTCACCCAGCCATAAGTATTTTTTCTATCAAGTTCCACTGACCACTAAATGTAAATTATAGAAAGTCATTATAATAGTTAGTTTAACATTTTTGTTGCCAATAGTTCAAGTTCCACTGACCACTAAATGTCAATTATGAAAAGGCATAATAATAGTTTAGTTATAACCATTTGGTTGCATAGATTTGTTCAATACTGCCATTTCAAATATCTTGTTATATTGATATAGAAAAATGTTGGACTTAGGATACTTCCTTGAGGAACACCAGTGTCTATATACTAGAGCAAGTATTTTTCATGAAATTGTCTATTATTTACAAAACTATCAATGCGATGCATTAAATAATTTAGTATATATTTCTACTGTTAACTGAAAAACCAAATTTAATTTGTTATTTTGTGTGTTAGTCACCGAGCCTTAGTTATTATTTCTATCAAATTCCACTAATCACTAAATGTTAATTTTGAAAAGTCATTATAATAGTTAGTTTAACATTTTTGTCGCATCGATTTGATCGATAGATCAATTTTAAATATTTTGTTATATCGATATTGAAAAACACTGGACTTAGGATACTTCCTTGAGGAACACCAGTGGCTATATACTTCAAGAGCAAATATTTTTTAATAAAATTGTCGATAATTTAAAAAGCTATCATTCCGATGTATTAATTAATTGAATAATTGATTTTGATGATAAGCAAAATTATTTCTATTTGTGTTTTATGCACATGGTCACCCAGCCTTAGTTATTATTTCTACCAAGTTCCACTTACCACAAATTGTCAATTATAAAATGTCATTATAATAGTAAGTTTAACATTTTTGTTACATATATTTGATTAATAGTTCAATTTTAAATATATGCTTCTATATTGATATTGAAAAATATTGGACTCAGGATACTTCCTTGAGTAACACCAGTGGCTATGTACTTTAATGTTGAGAAAATGTTTTTATTAATAAAAATAATGATTATTTAAATAACTGAATGAGATGTATTGAATAATTTGGCAACTTTTTCTTCTACAAATCCTAAAATCCAAATAATTTCGATACTTGTGTTATGCCCATGGTCACCCAGCCTTAGTTATTATTTCTTCTATCAAGTTCCACTGACCACTAAATGTCAATTATAGTAAATTATGACCCACTTCGATCATATTAGGGCATTCTCCATAATTTATTTGTCGCATTGGCCAACTACTGGGTTAATTTACAGTCCCAGATATATATAGGGCGTTTATAATAAGGGTTGTTTGACGGTAACCAGACACTATCGGAAATAAGGGCTTCATAATTAAGAGATTGCATATTGTGCTAATTATTACACTATGATGTAACAGGATACACTTACGTACTGTAATAGATATATGGGTATTTGATACAGCAAATAAATGTTTTTATGGGAATTTGTTAGAGGAAAGTTAACTCTTGTTTTGTTAGATATTTTACATCATAATGTATGAGCTCTATTTTTTTGCTACTAATTTACAAGATAGAGCTGAGAGTAAAATATTAAAATAGTGAGGGCATTTAAAAGTCCAAAAATTTTTGAGACTTTCAGGAATATCCAAAAAATTTATTTTCAATTTAATTTCAAGTAAGTATTCAGTTTTATATAAATATCTTGAGATGAGAAATGAAATTATTTCTATAAGCAACTGATTCATGAAATCAATTATGCGTTTTTGGAATACTTTATTTAAAATTAACATAATTATTTTTAGTATTATTATTATTATTCTGAGAGCCATTTGCTTATCAATTGCTGCACCCGCAATTTTGCTGCTTTCATTTGAGGCAAATCTTTTTCTGATATGGATTCCAAATCTTGGCAATGAGAAGTACCTAAAATATAAAAAAAATTGTCAAAAATCACAAATTTGGACTTAGTACTAATATTACTTGCAATTAGGGTTTGTCGGTTTTCAAAAACCGGTTTTTGGTGAAAATTATGGAATTAGAAAACCGGTTTTTTAGTGAAAAAAGTCGGTTCTCACTGTATAAATGGAAAATGATAAATATAGCCAAATGTAAATAGATGAAAGCATTTTGATTCTTGAATTCATATCGGTTTAATAGCATTTCATATCTTATCAGTCTGCAATGGTTCCCAGAAAGGTTTTGTATATATTAATTTAGATTTTTATACCAGTGTATATATTAATTTAAATCAGTGTGATTTCTTCTTGAAGAAATAACTTATTCATCTACACAAACTAAAAAAAAGAGTTTTAAACCCTAGAAGCCACAAATAAAAGAACAAAAACCTTACAATTATAATGTCAGGCTTTAAAAACAATTAAGCATGATTTGGTCGCAATTATGAGAGTATTTTCTATTTCAGGAAATTTTGTGAGTAAACAAAGAACACGTCTAAGTAGCAATTCGATAGACTTACTCAGTTTTTTGAAATCATATTTTATTAAACAAAAAGAAAAACAGTTCTAGTGTTTAAAATTAATTAGTTAAAATTGCTCGGAACAGACACCGAGTTTAGCTTAATTGATTTTAAAACTAAAATTGATATTAATAAGTATGTATCAACATGTATCTATTTTTTTTTTTTCAATTTAATGATCATTTTTAATTTAAAAATGTATTATTTTTATTTATTTGAAAACTTTCCTTTTACTATCATAAAAATATTTTCATTCTTATATGTGAAAATGATGCATGAACAACGAATAATTATTTTCAAAGTTATTTAATCAAGATAAACTATTATTTTTTAGTTCTACTAATTAAATATAAAATAATTTTGTTTACTATTCATAAAATTGAACAATAAATAAATTCAGTCAAATACTGCTCTTAATCACACTAAATTTGCGGATAAATTACAGAATATTCGAGCAAAAATTTATTTTTTATATAAGATTCGAAAACCGGCTAAAATCGTTTTTTAGTAAAATTAAAATTCGAAAACCGGTTTTCTGAAGTTTCGGTTTTTGTATAATCCCTACTTGCAATATAAAATATTCTGGTTTTGATATTTGCTCCAAAAGGAAGAAGTTCTACAGAGAAAAAGATTTTTGGATAGGAATAAGTGCCATGGAGAAATTACAAAAAACAATAATTTAAAAAAAAAATCTGAAAATAGCAAAAAGTCAATTTCACAAAAACAAAGAAACCCAAAAAAAGAAGACTCCTCAAAAAGAGTGTAGAGTAAACTTTAATGATGATTTTGACTAAACTTTCCTAAAAGAGACGTTAATTAACAAGGTATATTCTTATACATTAACTATTTCCGTCTAATTTGTGTCTATTATTTTTGGTTTATTACCTGTTACTATTATAGTCGGTGTATCTTCATTCAAATCCTGCAAAACTCCAATTGCATGCCAAGGATCAATTGTACCATGTGTGAAAATCACTTTTGTTAATTTTGGTTTTAGGCCACCATAAACTATATTTGTTCTGTTGATGCCATTATGTAAAACTTGATTGCTACTTCCGACGAACCTGATGGAAAAATAGACATATGTTATATAAATAACATATATCAAATTTACAATAAAAAATAATGGCCATTTTCAAAAAGTTATTTAAATAATCGACAATTCTATAAAAAAAATAATTGCTCTACGTTAAAGTACATAGCCACTGGTGTTCCTCAAAGAAGTATTCTGAGCCCAATATTTTTCAATGTCAATATAATAACATGTTATGTAATATTAGATGTAAACAAAATTATGTTGGTTTTGAAAAAAAATCTACGAAGATTTGGTGGAAAGTTGTCTAGTTCTCGAAGGTTTAGGTGAACTAGTTCTAGAAGTTTTTGGTGACACTAAATATTAGTTTTAGGCATTTATTGGTAAAGAAAGTTGTGATTGTGGTAATAAGAATGGTTTGGTTACTTTTTATAATTGAGTTATAATTTATCGATTGGAGGACAAAGACTGCAAAAAATTACAACAGTTGATATTAATAAACCTAGATAATCATAAAGGTGTTATATCAAATAGAAAATAGGGAAACCCAAGAACAAATTTCAGCAGTATGATTGTACCATTGACTTTGGATTTGGAATTTTGATGCTTAACTAGGATTGTTTAATGTAGCATCTATAGTTTTGCTATAAAATAGTAAATATAACTTCCGATAAACCTAATAGAAAAATAGATATGTGTTATGTAATATTTGGTATAAACAAAATTTGGTTGGTTTCGCAGAAACATCTATCAAGATTTTCTGGAAAAATGTCCAGTTTTTGAAGGTTTGGTTTAGAAGTTTTTGGTGGCATCAAATGTTAGTTAAAGGAATTTATTGAGCAAAAAAGTTGTAGTTGTGGTAATACAAATGGTTTGACTTCTTTTTATAATTGTCGTCTACTTATCAAAGACCTGATATTTCTAGTATAGGTTTTTTGTACTCTATTGTAATTTACTTGCTTTATAATATCTCTTTTTTGTGCTAGAAGTTTCTCTGAGAAAATTTACTTTCAACTTACCCATGTCCATAAGTTTGATCACATAGAGCTTCATAATATTTTAGAGTATTTGCTCCATTTCCAAAGGGTTGTTTGATGGATTTATCAGTTTGGAAATATCCATATTCGGTGCAGGTTTGGTAAATCCATTGTCTTACTAGAAATTATAAAAGAAACCTTGGTCAATATATTATTATAGACTTAAATATAGTGCTCTGCCAAAAACGGAGAAAAAATTAATTGGTGTATATATTTAATGGACAACTAATTTTTTTGCATTGATTGTTGTTATTGGATAAACTTGATTAGTAGGCAATTTAAAATTTCTAATCATACATATTATGTTTTATATGATTTAAATACAAATTAGACTTTCAAATTAAACTGCCCCCAAGGAAGAAAATCTGGCTGGGGCAATATATTACATTAATTTGCAACATGGATTTGATTTAAACTTGTTGACTCTCGTTGGCTGATTGTGTTTCTAATAGTTTCTAAATTTCTAATTATATTTATATTGCGTTTTTTTATTCAATTTAAAATTGAAATAGTCAAATGAAATGTATATATATATAATATGAAAACTGTTTTCATAATCTCTCATACCAGGCATCTCTGTCTGACTGAGATATGAAAATAATGTATATACATACATACAAGGTTGTCAAATATCTCCCTTCCGCCTTTTCGTATTATAAACCAAGAGCAAAAAAGCGGAAGGGAGATATTTGACAACCTAATATATATATATATATATATATATATATAAATAAAAATTAAAAAAAATTAAACTAAATTCTTACATCCTCCAACTGAAGCCTGATGCATCCAGGAGTCATTCCTCAAAAGTTGACAATTGGTAGAAATTTTAAATTGACACATCTATTGCCCCATTTGGTTCTAAGGAATTTTGCCAAAGTTGCCATTTCTGAACTATTACTGGCTTCAGCCTTGAAAAAAAAAAACAAAATTAAATAGACAAAAATAATAAAAATATTAGCATCAAATAATTTATGATGAATGAATAAAGTTTGTCAAGATGTTGTGGGTAAAATTCCAATGATTTAGTAGAAGGTGGATCAATTTTAGTCAGTAAACTATTACTGGTTTACTCTTGAAAAAAAATTGGTAATAACCAAATATCAATTTAAATTAATTTGTGATGAATAAGTGAAGATTCTCACGCTATTGTGTCACTTGTTTTTTGTTCTAAGATTTTTTATTGTACAATATTGTATTTTATTTAATTATCATAGAACTTTAGTGTCAATCGCAATTATCATGGGCATTTCTAATTTACTGCAGATTTTGTGATGCACTATCAAAAAAATACCTAATTGTCTGGAAATCTGGATTCTTTTAGTATACTTAGTGATTATGAACCGTTTACTTTAGAACATTGGCTAAAATTATCGATTTCTTCAAATAATATGGAATTTGCTTTAAGATCCATAAATCTAAATTATATATATATATATATATATATATATATATTATTCTTACGTTCAAAAATCTGCAAACACTTTCAACATCTCCTGGCTCGTGATATTGTACAGTTCCAGAAAATGCATTTGCTATTGTTGAGAAAAAGTTGGCAAAATCCAATGGTGAATCTGGTTCTATTGGAGGACAAAGACTGAAAAAAATTGCAATAGTAGATATTAATAAACTTAGATAATAATAAAGTTGTTAAATCAAATAGGCAAAAGAGAAAGCCAAGACGAAATTATAGCAATATGATTTTGCAATTGATTTTGGACCTAGAAATTTGACGGTCAACCAGCATTGTTTAATCTAGCATCTATAGTTTTGCTACAAATTAGTAAATATATTGTTTGTAGATTTATTATGAAAGAGTAAAATTTATTTTAGCCCTTTGTATAACATTTGCCTTGACTTTAAACATGAACCTAAATAATTAAGAGTGTACATGAAAAATTATCCTACAGCTAATGCAAAGACAAATTTAAGGAAAGACATTCTGTAATTGAATTTGGACTTAGGAATTTTGATGCACATAAAAATAATAGTAAAAATATTTTTTTTAAGTTTCAAAATAATAATAAATAGTAAAATTTTAGCAACAAATGGTACAACTTCAAATATTTCAAATGCAATAAGACATCTGCAGATTTGACCTACAGTGATGCAATTTTCTTGCAAAAATACTAAGGAGGTCTTTTACCTCAGGTTAATTTGAAGAGTTTTATGATTTTTTTGATGATTTTTTCTATACTTACTTGAAAGTTTTGGCAACAACTTCAACACCAGCAAGTCCCTGAAATGCTTTCCTGATTTGTTGGGTAGCTTTTTGGACAACTTCATAACATCTCATGCCACTGAGAGAACTCATGGCTGTACCCACAACTTCTAAATATTCTGAAAATAAAAAAAACAAGAAAAAAATTGAGTAACTAGAAATTAATTACCAATATCAAATTGATGAATCTTGAAAGATTTGACATTGTTGATAAAGTTTTTGAAGTCTTAGTTGGTTTAAACTAGATATCAAATTATTTATCATGAGGAGAGATGTAACTAAGGAGTCCAAAGAAAGCTTCAATGTAGCAAATGTAGTAATTAATTTTTTATTTGGCAGCATCAAATATATGGATCTTCAAAAGTGTACATTGTCGAATTATCTGGGAAGTCTTGCTACTGAAGTATTTGGTGATAAATAATTTAAGGACTGGAGTTAGAATTAAGTAGTCTGAGACTACGAGGAGTCTGAACTAAAAATTATTTGCTAGTATCATTTGAATGGATCTTAAAAATTTTACATTATCAATTAATCAAGGAAGTCTTGATGATGAGTTTTGGAAGTCAAAATTGGTATGAAAGAGTACATCAATGATTTAATATGATGAAAAATAGAATTTAGAAGGTGCAATAAATGACACAAAAGTATGGTAATATTGCAAGTATTCAAGTCCAGAAAGGTATTGTTTTTCATTATGACTAAACCGCAATATAAACATCCCTTTTGGCAATAATGTTGACAATGACAACCTTTGACACTTGGTCTTAGAAGTCTTACATGTATCACTTTCCAGAAAAGTGTTGTTTTTCATTATGATTAAACCACAATATAAACGTCATTTTCAGCAATATTTTTGACAATGACAACATTTAACTCTTGGTCTAGATTCCAGGTGCATGTAACATTTTTATTTTCACTTTTTTTATTAGTCTGACCTTTAAAATCGGCTACTGCCACCATTGGAGCACTGGAGGCTAAAGCCATGTCCGCCAAATGTGGGTATTTTAATCGGAACCAAGCCGCCATACTTCCAGCATAGGAACCACCAATTGCAACCACTTTACTATGTTCGAGACCTTGAAAAAAAAATAAAAAATATTAATCATAAAGATTTTTGTTAAACTAAATTTGGTAATTTTTTCATTTCATCTCATCTATTTACACCATTTGGACATTTGTAAATAGATAAAATGAAATTAAATTGGACATTAAGTAAATCTGTTGGCTATTATGACAAAAGTAAGATATTATCTTATATGATAAAAATAGCTGTAGATAAGTAATACAGTTCTTATCAAATTTATTTTATACTTTAACTGTCTGTAAATTAATATTATTAATAATTAATATTGTACCATTTCCTTTTATTCCATCTTTTATTTGAAAAACAAACTGGCAATGACTTTTCAGTACACTTGGGTAAATGTTTTTGTTCTATAAATCTTTTTTTTTAAAAAAAATAAATGGTAATGACTTTTCAATACATTTGAGTGTACTATGTTTTTGTACTATAATTATTTGTTATTGCAATTTATTGAATAATTAATTGTATTACCTGGAATAGTTTTCTTAATATGTTTAACAAAATATGCCAAATCTGCCAAAGCTTGATCAACGTTCAGAAATTGCAAGCTCTCTACTGAAGTGTCTCTGAAAAAAAAGAAAAATTCACATTTTAATTAATATTTACAATTATACATTTATAAAATAAATAATATTCTATGAAACTAATGTAAATTGCTAGTGTAATTCGAAATGGGCCGAATTATGCAGTTGATATAGTAATAGTACAATTTCATATACCTGGGTACACTTTTTGATATTTGGCTTTATACCATAAAAATTTGTATAAGCACATGTATATTATATCATATCATACAAAAGCTTATAAAATTATCTAAAAGTTGCCATACAAAGTTTAATAACATTTAGAACAAATATTGACAAATAATTAGGCCTAAACTTGAAAGTCCTAAAACTTTGTGATGAATTTCATATACCTGGATACACTTTTTAATATTTGGCTTTATAATAAAATAAAAATAAAAACATAAAAATTTGCTTAAAAACATGTATATTATTTTATGTCATAAAAAAGCTCATAAAAGTATCTGAGAGATTCCGTATAAAGTTTAATAACATTTAGAACAAATAATAACAAATAATTAGGCCTAAACTTGAAGGTCCTAAAACTACGTGATGAATTTCATATACTTGGGTACACTTTTTGATATTATAACATTAAAATTTTGCTTGAACAGGTGTATATTATATTATATCATAAAAAAGCTTATACAATTATCTGAAAGTAGACTGAGTCCACAATTCTCAAAATTTTAAAATTCCCAATAAATCTCTTGTCAACTTAGGACAAAGTACCAAAAATTCGTTGTATTTCTCTAGTTGTTTTTTTTAGAATTTTATTTTTACTTACTCTGTGGGTCGACTAAATCCATAAAATCTGTGTTCAGTATAAAACATGTATCCAGAATGTTGTTTGGCCATATCGTAAACTTGGCCACCCATTAAGGACCCATCATTTATAGTCCATTCACCACCAATGTATAACATTATAGGGCCACCAGGTTTGAAAAACTCGTCGTTGGAGAGATATCTCTGGATAAAAAAATTAATAAAACATTACAGTATAAATAGTAAATTATAGTAATGAATCGGTAAAATAAATATCCAAAAAAAATTGAAATTTTTTTTTGTACACCCGCTGCCACCACATATAATATTTATAGATGAATTTCATATACACTTTTTGATATTTGGCTTTATAACATCAAAAGTTGCCTAAGTACATGTATATTACATTACATCATAAAAAAGCTTATACAATTCTCTTAAAGTTGCCTTGCAAAGTTTAATAACATTTGGAACAAATAATAACAAATAATTAGGCCTGAACTTGAAAGTTTTGAGTCGATTTACTTTGTAAACAAAAGTTGGAGCCAAAAAGTAGAACAAATCTATTAGAAATTTAATTCTTTAGTAGATAAAAATATAACTAATGGTGTATGGTATCGTGCCTTAAGGCAAATTGCTGGCGTTTATGGTCTTAACGAACACCCTAAAATATTATAGGCCTACGAAAAATATTTTAATTTTAAAAATTAAAAATTCATCAAATTTTGGAATTCCATTCCTCTCTTACCATTTGCCATGTTCTGTTATCTCTAGGGTTAAAATGGTCCAATCTTTGGGTAATATAATTATTAGGAATATTATGCCTAGATTTTGGTGTAATTTTAATAGGTTCTCTGGTTCTTAGTGTTATAAAATCGAAAAATGCTGAAGCGTTTCCGAAAAAAAGTGCTGAAAGCACTAAACTAGTATTGGGACATGCATCTGGAAAAAATAGAAATTTATTAAAATATTTACATAAAACTTTGTTCTATATAAAATTGTACAATATTCTATTACCTCACACTTCAGTAAACACTCGACAACTGATTTAACTTCAGCAAATGCAATTGCATTTTAGATAAATGCAACTATTTTAAAACCTTCTATTGTGATATTTAAGATAACGAAAGTAATCTCAATTACAAGACAGATAAATTACTTTTAATCGTAAATTAAAAGTGGTTTTAATCGAGTTCTGTGTCACTTGTAATTACTAATAATAGTTATCAGGGACTTTTTTAAAAGAAAAATATAGTGTCTTATCTTTAGATATGGATTTAAACGTTTGAGAAAGGCAGAAATAATTAATTGATGCCAATTTACTAATTGATATAGAAAAACAACTAGAAGGGAAAGTATAGGGTTAATAACGGTTTAATATTTATTTTCTTTGCAAAAATGAAAATTTTTGCATATGTTTACGTTTCAAAGGTTTCTGAACATATTGGCATACCTTTGGCAATTCAGTATATTTTTGTTGTTCAAATACTTGATTTTTTGATTAAAAACTATTTACATCATACAAGCAAAAATGCTTTCAAATAAATTTGTCTTACAAAAGTTCAAAAATATTTTTCTAAATATTATACCAAAGTATTCTAGGAAAGCTAGTTACACAAATAATTATACCCAAACTTATTCCATTAGTAGGTCATTGCTTTTTCCACAATTATTAGACCAACTTTGGGGAATTTGACCAAGCAAATCATTCCAATGATTTTCCCTAAAATTATATGAGTTTTCTGAATATTATTTCCTAGATTTAGTCTATTCATTTGGTTGGTTCTACCAGTAGTCATGGAAACTGAATCGATTTACTTTGTAAACAAAAGTTGGATTCAAATCGAAATGAAGCCAAAAAATAGAGCAAATCTATTAAATATTTATAGAGATATAACTAGTGGTTAAATTAAAAATTAAAATTTGTCTAAGCACATGTATATTATATCATATCATAAAAATGCTTATAAAATTGTCTGAAATTTGCTATACAAAGTTCAATAACATTTGGAACAAATAATAACAAATAATTTGGCGTGAACTTGAAAGTTTTGAATCGATTTACTTTGTAAACAATAGTTGGATTCAAATCGAAATTGAACCAAAAAATAGACCAAATCTATTAAATATTTAATTTTTTAGTAGATAAAGATATAACTAGTAATGTATGGCATCGTCTCTTAAGGCAAATTGCTGGAACTTCCCGAACCGTAATAAAATATTCAAGGAATTTCAAATGTTTTCAAATAGATTACTACTTAAATACTGTTATTCACTCATTATTCGTATTTTAAAGACAAAATATAAGAACTCATAAATTCGACTGGTTTTTAACATAATTTCCTTCATAAGAAAAACCAACATTTTTTATAATCTGTTAGAAACTGATTTTTTACAATCAATCAAATAATTCAAATTTCAAATTTCAATTTCAAATTCCCCGCCAGATTTTTTGAGTTTTTAATAAATATGGCTTCGGTGTGAAGTCGCGCGTAGGTGTCATTCGTGAATTAAATGTCAAATATAAATGTTGTACAAATAGAATTAAATTGTTTTTTTTAATAAATAAAATGGTTTTAAGTATTAATTGTGTGATTTGAATGTTGGATTGTGTATTATATCAAGGTATATATGATAAAATATAACTATATTGTTTTTTTTTTACTATTTGTGTGCAAATTCTGAACACGACCTAACCTAACTGACGTAACATTTATTTGTTGCTTTGCTATCTTACAGTAAACTATTGGTAGGATGAAATAACAATATTATTTTAATATAGACCTACAAATTTTATTATGTCATATATAAAAGTACATATTCTTAAGGCAAATCAAGGTTTCTAAGAAATTTCATGGACCTAACCTATAAGTGCCATATTGCCTTTTTGTATTATCACTATCTTATTTATAAAACTTGGGTATGGTAAGATGAAATTCTTTGCTTTGGTTTCCTTTTGCCATTCGTTACATGTATATAAATTGTTTTATAAAAGTTTAAAGTAAGTCTACATATTTTCAGTGGATTCAAAATTGCAAACCGACGTAACCTAACTGACCTGTTTTTTTTTGCTTTGCTATTTTACAGTAAACCTTTGGTAGAATAAAATAATAATTTTATTTTAGTATAGGCTTTCAAATTTTTTAATATGACGTATATAAAATTATATATTCTAAGCCAAAACAATGCATACCAAAAATTTCAAGAACCTTGTAATCTTACAACTTAGGACATTAAACTAGTAGTTTTAAGGCCAAAGTTCTAACTACTAAGCCACGACAAGCTTATCCGAAAATTTCTTTTATTTGTGTGTTCAAATAATATATATATTTTTTAATTCTAACAATAAGATGTATTATTACATATTTTATTACTATGAATTTTCATTTACTTACTTAATATGGCTTGCAGAAGAAATTTATTATTATAGTTTATAAAATTTTTGAAAAAAGACATAAATTGAAAAAAATAATCACTTTCATAATAATTTGCTTGTTCATTATTGAATATTATTTTGTTTGAAGGTATTTTGTTCATTTATTTAATTAATATCTGACACATATGATTTCAATGAATGTATCCATTCATATATATTAATGATGTATACATATGTTATTATAAAACATGTGTCATAAATTCACATTTAAATCTAAATATATATTATTGTTATCATTGGGGAAACTATTTTTTGCACCATCATTTTATTCTAAAATTTATACTGAAACTGTTAATGTTAATTCATTTACATAATTATTCTATTTAGTCATATATATATATATATATATATATATATATATATATATTTGTATGATTCTGAATTTGATGTTGACATATGTATTAACAAAGTCTAATAATCGGGCATAACATATATATATATATATATATATATATATATATATATATATATATATATATATATCATTAGACTTGTTATCACAAATGCCTGGTATCAAATCCAAAGATGTTTTGGACAACCTGATATCAAGTTACTTGAAAATATAGATAAAAATATAGTATTGTAATGAAGTATAGTAAAATATACATTATTTACAGAATTTAGATGAATTATATCATCAATATTTAAGTTGAAGAAAAACTATTGTGTTGCCTTCTACTAAATATTGAAAGGAATATTGTTGGGTTATCTTAAAAAAACAAATTTTTCATAGAATTTATTCAAATGTTCAAAAATTTGCTACAGAGGTACTTATTGCCACATTAAAAGGTTTTTGCATTTTTATTACTATATATACAAATTTGTTTTGGGCACTTTTTGTTAAGACTGGTTTTGTTAATTTGTTCATTAATTTTATACACATAGTCAAATTTATTTATTTATTTATTTATTTATTTATTTATTTATTTATTTATTGAATGTATTTCATTTATTATTTTTACATATTATAAACATATGTCAACAAATTCACATTCAACTAGAAACATTTGATTTCTATATGACAGACTATTTCCTAGGTAATGAATTAACTAATTATTTTAGGTAAATGTGGTCTAGTTTTAATATACTTGAAACATGGTGCTTATTACACATTTTGCTGTGAAATAATGATCTGTTTATTGTTTTGAATTTGTTTTACAATTTATAGTAAATTCAATACTGTAATGATCTTTCTTAAAAATGCTTAAATCTTCTTATATCTACTTAGATCTACTTATATCACTTCAATATTGTTCAGTTTCAAATTTTACTACAACAGTTTAGTTGATATAAGTACAGTATCATTTGTATAAATATTTAAGTCCTATTTAAAACAATAATTATCCTATTAAAAATAATAATTATCCTTTAATAAAATATTATTGGGCTTTTTTGTCGAAAGGAACGAAAAGTTCTGTTGTCAACTTGAAATTTATTTTCAATTCGTATATATATATATATATATATATATATATATATATATAACCAGATTCGTGTTCATTGTACCATAATGAAAGCGATAGTAATGTTTGCAAATATATCATCACGGAAATTTATGTGGGGGTTTATGTTCTCTCTGATGGCAGTACAAATATAGATTATCTTCGCGGATTTAAATGTACATTTATATATGTACATATATATATATATATATATATATATATATATATATACATATATATACATATATATATATATATATATACTCGTACATATCTAAAAACGAACTGATCTATTTTTTTCTTCAAGAATTGCTATTGAGGATGCCTAAAACTAAGGAGCATTTTCATAAAGCTGCAATTCATATAGTAATTTGAAATTTAATATAATTGTTGTCATGGAAGTGTAATTTTACTTTATAAAAAAAATCTTTGATCAAAAGAAATGAATAAATGTTCTCTACAAGATTTAAGGTATAAGAAGATGGGTTTTATTGCAAAGTTCTTCACATAAAGATAACATAGTAAGAAATTGTTTGATAAAATACTATGGTTTTTTGTTTTAATAATGAAAGCTGCATGTGACATATTTTAACATACATGAAGAGTAGTTTTTGACTTTTCATTATTTTTGCAATAGTGTCATCGGTTGGTCTTTTTTATATATTGTGTTATTGGATCTTTAATTTCAAGTGGAAATCGTTCATGGCGTTTTATTCCACGCAAATGAAAAATCCATACATTTTGGCCGGCGACTTAAACATTAATAAAACTATACAACTCATATTTTTAACTTCCCGAAGGAGAAGTTTATGTTTTCATAAAAAAATACGACTAGCTAATTTGAATTTGAATCGAATAAGACAAATTTGGAGGAAGCATGTGTGTGTGTGTGTGTGAACAGTTTTTTTGCCGTAAATCGACGTCTTCTTCTAAACGGCTGGACCGATTTCAAAAATTTAAAAGCCATTCAAAGTATCTTGATGAGGACTAGCGTTTCTGAAATTTGTGCGACGATCAACCAAGCCGTTTCTTTGTAAATCGCAGAAAAGTGAAAAAGTTTTCGTCTACGTTTTAGCCCGCAGTTGTGAATCGATTTTAAAAATTCAAAAACCGCTCGAAAGATTAGTTTTTGGTAAAGATCGGCCAAGCCGTTTTCTTGTAATAAAGTTAAAAAAAAAATGACGATTTTTCAGATTTTTTTTTTGACGGTAGATACCATAGTCTTGCATATCATACTAAAATATAGTATTACGGCCCTACTACAAGTCGTTTAATTTTAAAAATTCTTCAAAGTTTGCGAAAATTAGTATCGTTTTTTTGGCTTTTGTCAAAATTAGACCTTCGATCGACGTTTTCTCAAAAACGCCTGAACCGATTTCAGAAATTTAAAATCCATTTTATGTATTCCAATGAGGACTATCGTTTGTCAGTTTTGTGATTCGATCTGCCGAGCCGTTTCTTTGTCATTTGGAAAAAAGTGTTAAACTTTTCGCCCACATTTAAGCTTATACTACCGAAACTATTTTAAAAAAATCAAAATCTGTTCAAAAGATAATAGTTGGGATGATACTGATTAGTTTTAGCTGAAAATCTACAGAGCCGTTCTCTTGTAATTAACTGCTGAAAAAAATTTAAGACGATTTTTATGGAGCTTTTTTTGGCGATACATATCATGGTCTTATAGATCTTACTGAAATATTATGGTCTTAGGACAAGTAGTTTAGTTTTAAAAATTCATCAAAGTTTGAGAAAATGAGTAGTTTTGTTGACGTTTGTTAAAATTAAAATTAGATGATTTACTTGGTATAATGATAGATTACTTGGTCTTAATGAACATACTAAACCATTAACGTCTTACGAAAATTGGTTCAATTATAAAAATTATTGATTTGTGAAAATTTGCTTTTAGAAAATACTCCGAGTAAAAGTGTTTGTTCGTTTTTAATGATGTGTAATAAATCCACTTGGAATACTCTTAATCACTTATAAATTAATTTATTTTTTATTGATTAAGTCGATTATTTACACATATCGGGAAGTTCATGTAACTTGCTTCAAGGCAAAATACCAATACCAACTAGTTAATCTTACAAGCCGTCAGTATAATGATATTATAATAAGGCTTATGTCAATATGTTATAAATTTCATATAATATAATTAACTATTTTATTATTACCATACCAAGTCATGACTTTGTCTCAACATTTTGAGTCTTTGATACTAATTCCAATTGTTTGTTTTGTGAGAACATAGAATATTTTCCATATAATTCATCATTTGCAAAATAGTTTCATTTCCCATCGATATCTATCTATCTATCTATAGATCATCTGGTCGCCTGCAGGAGGTGCAGGCGTGAATTGTCGTTTAATGTCCAGGCTGTGTCTACATACATGTGCCGAAATATGCCTATGTGCATGTCACATACATCCTGCGGCTCTTGTCAGGATAATATATCCTGAATTACAACATCAGTATCTGTCAGTCGTGATTTGCGACGATTAATTTCATCGTTTCACACTTTGGAGCACATACGGTGGAATTTATGCGAAAATTAAATTTCCGGATTTAAAATGAACATAGATATAATGGATTTATATATATATATATATATATATATATATATATATATATATATATATATTAGCAAACTCGACGAACTCCGTTTCGCCACCAGATGGTTTTAGTGAAAAACATGAAGAAATTTTTTGTTTGTTTTATATTCGAAAAAGGGAAAATTTGATTTTATTACACAACAGTAATGAATTTATTTCGATTACAAAAATGAACTGTTTTTTTAGTTGAACTTCTCTAAGTAAATCAAAGTGAATCCGCAAATTATTCGTTTCATTGAAGTGCTCTTTGGTAAACCACATTTTTTGTTTTTTGGTCTGACTTTAACACAAACAAAGCGGATTGTTTTCCAACTCGTGAACAGGCAACGTATAACTGCCCATGTAAAAAACAATGATTTTCTAAATAATCTATTTGAAATTTAT